GAATATAGAGATTATAAACAAGATATGTTTCTAAAACTCAAAGAAAAGTTAATTTAATAAAACTAGAATAATTAATTACTGTCAGGGATGATGCTGAAATCGGATGATGCTGAAATTCTGACTTAGTTTATTATGAAAATTTAAAAATGTTTTGGGGTGTTTTGTTCAGCTTTTTTTTTATAGTTCTATTAGAATTTAGGGTTAGTGTTTATAATAAAAAGTATAGGTGGATTTTAGTAAGGTTTATATTTTCAAATTAAGACTTCAAATTTCAGCATCATCCGATTCCCGACAATTACTATTATAAAAGAGATATAATCTTTTATATTAATAGATCTAGATCATTATATCAAGCAAAGAATAAAACAAAGAGCCCTAATAGCATAAGAATAAGAATATTACAAACAGATCAAGATAAACAGAAAGTAATTGAAAAAGTTTTTGCTAAAACCAAAAACTGGCTATCATCAACCACTTCACGATAATCATTAGTATCAGCTAATTATCTTTTTAACGACATTACACAGTGGCGTGATTATATCAGGTGATATTTTGATGCAAATCGATGTATTGATGGTTTACGTTTGATTGATAAACGTACCTTTTCCCGACGTTAACGGACAAAATTTTCCTTTGGTAAATCTATTTGTATATGTTTTGTATATTTCTCAAGAAAAAAGATGCAACGTGTTATCGCTTTTGGTGGCTTTAAATGTGCATTTACGAGATATGTGCAACGAAGGGTAAAACAAAAAGCTTTTTGACCAAGATAAATTCGTAAAGTTTTCATACAAAAATATATAGAAAACTGAATATTTGAGCAAAAAGAAAAAAAAAATCAATTGGAATTTAAATCGTTTTTATTCAAAGATTTTCTATCTGCTTTTGTTTTTATGAATTTATTAGACGTTCGCCTCTTTTAACCGAACTAAAGTTCCTTTGGACAAAGAATGGGTTGAACTTGCTACAAAGGAATTAAAGGGTAAAGATCCGGAAAAAGTGTTAACATGGCATACCGCAGAAGTAAATATAGTTTCTATTAGCTAAAATTATTTGATTTTAATAATTCAATTAATAATTTATTTCGTAAAAATTATAGGGAATAGATGTGAAGCCTGTTTATACAAAAGTGGATGCTGAACTCATTAAAGATGAAATCCCGGGAAAATTTCCTTTTACAAGAGGTCCATACGCTTCTATGTATACAGCGAGGCCTTGGACTATTCGACAGGTGATGATCGTTCTATATGGTTATAATCAAATTACTATTTATTT